GAATGTCATTAATACTATGTATATAAAGCACAAAACAAAAAAACCTAGCAGCTCAATCCCAACTTCTCTCGCCAACCTGAAAGGTGGACCAGGATAAGGATTAAATTCGCGTGCTTTTCGATGGTTTTACTACTTGGATAATGGCAGTTTCCTAGCTGAGGTAAGAGTACTAGGGAGGGCATTAGGGAAGCTTCCAGAGTTGTTGGACAAAGGTTTTTCCGGGCTGTAGGTTCATTTCCAATCGCTTTAGCTTTATTATTTCAAATTATACTTTCTTTAGGCCTATGAGTTAAAAGGCCTGGGTTGCTGAGGATAATTTAGTGTTTTAGGCTCTATTAGCCCAATTTGGCTTTGTAGCTTTGGTTTCCTCAAAAATCACACAAAACCTTTCAGTAGCCGTGCCACAAAGTCTGCCCCACGCCCCGTTTTTTGGAAAGAATAAAAGGAAGTAAAGGGAAAGAAAAAAATCATGAAGTCACTGTAATACAACTCTAAATATGACCTTTAGAATTTAAACGTAATTACACCTTTTCGCTTTCATTTCTGGTATACAATTCGCTGACCTTTGTTTTTCTTGGATTCATTATATCCCGGCCTTTCCTACTTGTCCCAATATAATACTCGCAGAGAAAGACAACTCTGCTAGGTGATATGGTTGTTTTTGAGGAAAGGATCACTTGACAGCTTGCTGGAAAACACCTCCATTGAGGCCCTGCCAGCTCCTCAAGAGTGGAAAGAAAGCAATCTGTAGCCATTTTACAACCATGGGAAGATTAAAAAACAATTAACCCTGAAAGTGATTCCTCAAATCCGGCTTTGTCATTTTTATTTAAAAAAAAAAAATCACTTCATTCTAGCTTGTAGAAATTCTCAGGTTTGGCTTGAGAAATGTGTTTATTAGTTTGATTACTTATCAAAGTACAGAGAATAAGGAAAGTTATTTAGGAAAACCTAGGAAATGTAATACTTTTCTATAAGCCAATACATTACATCACAGATTAATCAGTAGCCAAAACCAACTAGGGCTCTTTATTCAGCAGGTAAAACCAAATAATCCCCAACTCCCACAATCTATCTCACCAAACGGAAAGGTTACTCTTCCTACATCTGATAGCTAGTTTTTTGACGTGGTGAACAAACAATTCAGTACTACAAACAGGATAGTTTCAGGCAGTGAAGTAGCCACTGGAATTTAGAAAAAACTGGTTGTGTCCAACTATCAAAGACGGTAAACTGAGAGGTTCTCTTTAAAATTCATCAGTTTTTTCAACCAGTAAATGGCAGCATCAATTTAAGACCCCTTGACTACCCTATGGGATAAAGATGACGGAATCAAAGGTCTGATTAGGTGTTTGGAAATCAGGTATTTCTAACTCATACAGCCTATATAAAGTTGTCAAGGAAACAGAACAGGTGCTTTTATTACAGTTTAAGGATGTCATACAGAGGCAGAAGGATATCCTAGTTAACTAATCTCCCAGTACTTATAACATATGAATTCATTCATGACATACTCTTGTGCCCTTGCCCTTACAGGGCAAATGAGGTCATGTTGCTAGGATGCTAGCATCAAGATTGGTTTTAAATTAGATAACTAATCCTTATGTAGATTACGAATCCTACTGTACATAAAAATTAGTAATGGATGAGATAATATTATGGTGGATGAGATACATGGATAATATTAAATCAATTTAATCCACTTAAAAAGTATTATTAAATGCGTGATGAGAATGTATGCCCCCGGAGAAGAGAATTTGGCAAGAGAACAACTTTTTACACTGTCTGAGCCTAGCGTCCTTGCTGAAGGCATGAGGGACGGACTACCAGTCACCTTCTCATTTTAAAGTTCTAAGGCTATGCTGCTTGAATCTGATGACTGGCTACCACATGTACTGCTGTGCCTTGACTGCGCCACTCCTATGGGAGAACATCTCTGTTTTATGGGCATCCGAAGGGTCCTCCTCAGCCTCCTTTAGAAAGCCAGAGATGTGAAGCTCCAGGTTTTTACCCTGGTTCCTGGCATGACCTTTCACAATTGACCCCATATTAAACTCTAAATTTCTTTGTAAGTTACAGAACTAGTTTACGAATCCATGTTTGTAAAATTCAAAATATTACAGTGGATATGAAATAATAAAGTCCCCGCCCCTCTTCCAACCTCAACTTTCCATCTTCTCCTCGTGGTTATTGCTTTTTGTAAACAGTTCCTTGTGATTCACTCCAGACTCGTTTCTTTGCATTTACACACACACACACACACACACGCGCGCGCGCGCGCACACACACACACACCAGTCTGTTTTATGGCATTTTAAAATACAAATTTGCTTTTTTCACTTAATTTGTTGGTTTTAAAGTATTATGTTTTAAATAAACAGCTGGACTTTATATGCTAATATTTTATTTTGAAGTCTTATGTCTACATTCATACAGACAATTTTCTTAAAATAAACTTCTAGACTTAAGAAAATACTGTTGTTTTTGAATCACTCTTGTGTGGATTTGGCATTAGCACTATGCTAGCTTCATGGGACTGGGAAATATTCCACTTTTTAAGTATGCCTTGATATTTTGAATGGCACAGAAATTGTATTTCTGATTGTTTTGTAAAATACACACAAAATTTTTCAAGGTGGGACCTCCTCTTCTGACTTTTTTTTTCTTTCTGTGTTTGGGGGTTAGATATCTACCTTGTTAATTCTTCTGAGGATATTGGTCTATTCAGTCTTTTCCTGGGCTTTTGGAGTTAATTTTGGTAATTTACATTTCCTGGAGAACCATTCACCCACTTATATAAAATATATTAATATAAACTATTAATTAACAGATATTATAATTTAAGGCATCTTATCATTGTATGTAGCTTTGTTTTCTGTGCCCTAATGATATTTGTGTTTATTTTAAAGTACTTATTAAGACTTTCCAAAGATTTTCTTTTTTTTATTTCATTGATTTTTTTAAAGAATCATTTTGTTTTTATTAATTATTTATTTTTGTATATATCATTAATTCCTGCCTCTATTAATTCTGTACTTATTTCTTTAGGTCTACTTTGTTATTCATGTTTTAATATGTGATATTCTTATTAATATTCAGGTCTAGTAGTTGATTAATTTCAGTTTTTAGTTCCTTTTTTACCAAAGAGTTTTTTTGTAGGATGCTAAAAATTCTGCATATATCTATTAAACATGTTTAATTGTGTTATTTAGATCTTCTCTGTGCTTACTCTGCATCCACTGAGTTTGACAATTTTTTATAGTATTTAACATACCTACTATGATTTTGGATTTGTCAGCTTATTTTTGAATTTAAGAACTCTGATTCATGTGTTATGATGCTATCTATGTAGCTATATAAGTGCTCATGACTATTCTATCTTCTGGATAGAATAAAACTGTTTTTCAAAATGTAGTATCCTTTGAAAACTCCTTCTTTGGCTCATTTAATGCTTTTTACCTTGAATTCCATTTTTCCCAATGTGATTCCCACTCCTGCTTTCTCATTTGGCTGGCAGGTTTGCCTGTCTCCTATGTTGTTTTCTACCCTCCCCACTCTCCCCACCTCCCCCCCGGCCACATGTCTCTTGCAAACATCATAATGCTAGATGAGATTTTTAAAAATCCAATAAGAGACTTTCTGACGTTTTGCTGGAGAATCTGACTCATTCATGTTAATTATAATACCTAATATATGTGATTTTATTCTTACAGCTTTTTGTTTTATTTTGTATTTGTTATGGGTTATTGCTGTCTGTGTCTAAGTATGGCTATCTGAATTGTCTCTCTTCAAAATTTATTTGTTGAAGTCTTAACCCCTAGTATATCAGACTGTGACTGTATTTGGAAACAGGGTCTTTGAAGAGGTAATTAAGTTAAAATGAAGCCATTAGGGTGGCCCCTAATCTTATATGACTGGTTATCCTAAATAAGAGGAGAAAATCTGGGTACAGAATGCACAGAGAAGACGGCCAGGTACAAGCCAAGGAGAAATGCCTTACAAAAAACCAGCCCTACAGACAGCTTGATCTCAGACACCTTGTACCAGAACTGTGAGAAAATCAATTAACTTAAACCAAGAGTAATTTATTTACAACAGTGCGTGCAAACTCATACAAACCCTGACGACTGCAGCTTCTGCTTATGTCCCCAGAGAGCTGTTCCTTGATCTCTGGATGGTGTTAGTCACCTTGTTCCTATATTCTCCCTACACGCTATACATTTCCTATCATAACCCTCAATCACTCACTGTAATTACTTGTNAGATAATGGGTCAGATATACAGAGGGTGCCAAAAAATCTATACACATTTTAAGAAAGGAAAAAACTATATTAAAATTGTAACACTCAACATATACTGGTGACAAAAGATGAATACAAGTCATGTGTATACATTTTTTTGACACCCCAGATACAATAATATTTTGAATAAACTTTACCTTTTAAAAGCTTTTTCAAGTCATCTCTTAGAGTTGTCTTCCTGTTGTCTAATTAATTCCAATTATTCAACTCCAGTCAGCAAAGCCTTGTAAACACTATAAGCACAATGATAAATAAGTGGATATTCTCTTACCTTAAATTGGTGGCATATTTTCCTCAGTGTGTATGCTTCCTGTTCTGTGTTGGGGACGAGTCTTATCACCTTATCACTGTAAGAAAGGGTAAAAATGATGATATTTACCTTTCACAAATAAAGATTTCACCATTTCTGTTTACCTTTTAAAAAACTGCCTCTGCATTTTAAAAGAAAAAGAACAAAACTTTGGGCTGGCCCTCAAGTGTTTTATCTGATTGTTGTTACTCTCTGATTACATTGGTCTTTTCCCGTCTTAAAACGATTTGGTTTTTCATCAGCTTTTGAAGATTACAAACTCCCACATAAGCAGGGAAAGGCCAAAAACACAGAAGCAGTGACAACAGGAATAAGGACTTTTGTGACCACCTCAGAGCAGATACCAAGAAATAAAATTCTTGATGACAGAAGAAAAAAACACTCATTTTTTAAAAACTTAATGCTGTAAAGGAGTGTCTGACTTTCTTTTTTCTTTCTTTTTTTTTTTTAGCTGAGCCATCCTGCTACCTGTTGGCAGCTCAGCGGCTGCTCAGCTCGGGCTGGACTCGAACCGCTGTTGCTCAGAGCTCAAAGGAGTGTCTGACTTTCAATGAGAGGATGTGTGGAGTCCATACACGATGGAACATTCCTGGTTTGGGTTCTTCCCACATTGAAAACAGTAAAGATAAGCCCATTTCTATGGAACTTCTTATTTCTCTACTACAGAGCTTACCATCTAGCATGTGGGACCCAATTTGGGGCGCCAACAGTTGTTTACAGGTGTGCCAAGTGACACCGATGGCTGTAAAAATTTTAAAGTGGTAATGATTTTAAATAAATGTTTGCAGCCATTAAACTTTTACTACAATTGAAATTATATTTGAATACATTATACGTGCCTCTCAGTAAAGATCCTAAATTGCTTAAGAAGACTTGAGGTGTCATGCTATCAGCCAAGCAGTTGTCTGTGGTGGTGACCTCTCCCTCAGGTGTGCCAGACAGGTATTATCATTTTCTAGTTATGTCATGATGAGGACAGGCTGGGAAGCACAGCTCTAGGATATATTAATCACAACTGTCAGTGTGTTTTGCACAGAGCAGACACTTATTAAATATTTATTAATGGATTTGCATAAAGGAGATCATTGAGAATATTTGACTGCCAGAGGAAATGCAAGAAAAGCCTAAATAAAGTACAACAGGAATAAATATTTTTCATAACCCTCTATGGTTTTGACAATGACTGAAGATAAAGTAGAATGTCATTAATACTATGTATATAAAGCACAAAACAAAAAAACCTAGCAGCTCAATCCCAACTTCTCTCGCCAACCTGAAAGGTGGACCAGGATAAGGATTAAATTCGCGTGCTTTTCGATGGTTTTACTACTTGGATAATGGCAGTTTCCTAGCTGAGGTAAGAGTACTAGGGAGGGCATTAGGGAAGCTTCCAGAGTTGTTGGACAAAGGTTTTTCCGGGCTGTAGGTTCATTTCCAATCGCTTTAGCTTTATTATTTCAAATTATACTTTCTTTAGGCCTATGAGTTAAAAGGCCTGGGTTGCTGAGGATAATTTAGTGTTTTAGGCTCTATTAGCCCAATTTGGGTTTGTAGCTTTGGTTTCCTCAAAAATCACACAAAACCTTTCAGTAGCCGTGCCACAAAGTCTGCCCCACGCCCCGTTTTTTGGAAAGAATAAAAGGAAGTAAAGGGAAAGAAAAAAATCATGAAGTCACTGTAATACAACTCTAAATATGACCTTTAGAATTTAAACGTAATTACACCTTTTCGCTTTCATTTCTGGTATACAATTCGCTGACCTTTGTTTTTCTTGGATTCATTATATCCCGGCCTTTCCTACTTGTCCCAATATAATACTCGCAGAGAAAGACAACTCTGCTAGGTGATATGGTTGTTTTTGAGGAAAGGATCACTTGACAGCTTGCTGGAAAACACCTCCATTGAGGCCCTGCCAGCTCCTCAAGAGTGGAAAGAAAGCAATCTGTAGCCATTTTACAACCATGGGAAGATTAAAAAACAATTAACCCTGAAAGTGATTCCTCAAATCCGGCTTTGTCATTTTTATTTAAAAAAAAAAAATCACTTCATTCTAGCTTGTAGAAATTCTCAGGTTTGGCTTGAGAAATGTGTTTATTAGTTTGATTACTTATCAAAGTACAGAGAATAAGGAAAGTTATTTAGGAAAACCTAGGAAATGTAATACTTTTCTATAAGCCAATACATTACATCACAGATTAATCAGTAGCCAAAACCAACTAGGGCTCTTTATTCAGCAGGTAAAACCAAATAATCCCCAACTCCCACAATCTATCTCACCAAACGGAAAGGTTACTCTTCCTACATCTGATAGCTAGTTTTTTGACGTGGTGAACAAACAATTCAGTACTACAAACAGGATAGTTTCAGGCAGTGAAGTAGCCACTGGAATTTAGAAAAAACTGGTTGTGTCCAACTATCAAAGACGGTAAACTGAGAGGTTCTCTTTAAAATTCATCAGTTTT